CGCCGATAACGTCTGACCATAACCATAACGATAACTAATGGTCCGATTTTCGATCTGTAAACGGCATTTGACGCCTTTTTAAAATAGAATTTACGCTACGATGACCTTTTCCAACAAATTAACAAAAACGGAATTTGAAACGACTTGCTGGTTCGATCACGCACTTGATAGACTTGCTGGATCGATCCTCACTTCATCGACTTTCTGGGTCGATCTCCCACTTGATTGACTTGCTGGACTATTCTTCCACTTGATCGACTTGCTGGGTCGATTTCCCACTTGATCGACTTGCTGGGTCGATCTCCCACTAATCGACTTGCTGGCTCGATCTCCCACTAATCGACTTGCTGTCTCGATCTCCCACTCGATCGACTTGCTGGGTCGATTCCCCACTTGATCGACTTGCTGGGTCGATCCCTCACTTGATTGACTTGCTGAGTCGATCCCTCACTTGATCGACTTGCTGAGTCGTTCTCCCACTTGATCGACTTGCTGGGTCGATCCCCCACTTGATCGATTTGCTGGGCCGATCCCCCACTTGATCGACTTCCTGGGTCGATCCTTCACTTGATCGACTTGCTGGGTCGATCTTCCACTTTATCAACTTGCTGGGTCGTTGCTATTCTATAGGTGTTGTGGTGTGATATCTTTGGCATTTTTAAAATAATCAAAGATGTTGTCATTGCCAACAATATTTTTCAATGCAATAGCAGCTTTCGATGGCTTAGCCATTATCATCAGTTGTCTGCTAGATGGAAGCCACAAAACGACTAACCAATTGAGCTTGACTAGCTTTAGAATATAGGTGTTGTGGTGTGATATCTTTGGCATTTTTAAAATAATTAAAGATGTCATTGCCAACAATATTTTTTAATGCATTGCATTAAAAAATATTGTTGGCACTGACGAGGCTATTCTATTTTAAAATGCTAAAATTCTATTTTAAAAAGGCGTCAAATGCCGTTTACAAATCGAAAATCGGACCATTGGTTCAGACGTTATCAGTAAAGTAAATTCCCGTAATAGTGCTGCGATCTATTGAATTTTCCTACAAGTATTTTTCTGTGCATTTAGCCTTAAGCCATTGATCTGCACCTTGTCCATTCTTTTTAGATATTGTCCATGGAGTGATTTCGCACCTCTAATAGAAAAGTGACGTAAATGCGAAATGGTCATTTTTCAATTACTGTCCACTAGAAGGTGAATATTTGGTACAATCTCTTCAGAGTATTACAGAACTACGAAACTTAAAATTGCAATTTCTGAGAAATCAGAAGTTTGCACTTCTGTCACTTTCTATTGGAGTTGGGATTTGTCTCTCCATGGTTTCCATAACATTATTATTAGAGCCAGTGCTACCACTGTTATTAATATGATTTACAATTGCTAAATATATAACTATTTCTATTAACTAGTTAATAGAAATTAGTAATTATAGTTAATTCCAGGATAACAAAATTAATCACTTTAATATAAATAAGTCACACAATCACAGTTGTGGTAGCTTTTATCACATTCCAAATGGTATTCCCATTATGAATATACTCAAGTTTTGTAGCCCCAAAAGATTAAAAATATGAGGTTCCTGTATATGAGGCTGCCCTGTAATACTTTCTGGATCCATCCCTGATGTAGTCCCATCCATGCTCTATACTCTGCCCCCTCCTTTTGAGCATTTATCGAATGGAGTGGTTGAAATTCCTTTTTAAGAATTGTCACATTTCAGAGATCAGCCTCAACCAATGCCAAAATAATTAAGACATTTGAAAGTAGTGTATTGATTTAAGGGGGTTGAAACTTTTGCTGATCTTAATATTACTGTATAACAAAAAATTGTTTAGCTTAGTTTTATATTTAGTAGTTTTAATTAAATTTAGCATGTAGTTGAATTTCCTTAGTATTTGATTAGTAATCGCAAGCAAGTTGTATCCAGAGCATTAAGCTTCTTGAATCTAAGATCATACATGAGGCTTATAATAAGCATCCATATACAAACTCTATGACAAATATAAAAATTAAAATTTGGGCAGAGGGAAAACTTACTACTTTTTGAAGATGTTTAATAAATTTGAGTAAGTGACCCAATATTGCGACCAGCAAAAAATCAATTCACAAGAAACAATTTATTCTTACAAGAAGGTCATAACAGATTATCTGTCACAGGTATTCATAATTTGACAGCTTATATTACATACAAACAACAGGGTTAACTACCTTAATGCAGATTCTGCAGGTTGTCTCGTATACCTTTACAACAATGACTTGTATTTTAGAAAAACAATGCAGTTGTAAAGCTGGATCTACAGTGGCACAGTGGCAGTATGATAAAGTTGTCATTCATTATTGTAGGTTAGAGGCAAAGCACTCTTATGAAACAATGATACAATTTATTCCTATGTACATACATGTTCACCTGAACTAAATATTAGTTCAGACAGTTGCAATTTTTAGATGTACATTTCAAGTTTAATCTACAAAATTTCTAAAACTCCCTTTATTACTATAATTGATATTTATTATAATACATATATCTTCACATGGGAGTTTGAACAGCATACTCTTAAGACTGAAAATAAATATTTTATTTGCCCAAACTTACATGGTGCATAAATACAAAGGGCAGCAACAAGTACGACTTAATCTTTTTGTGTTCGTAAGTCTTTATCACATTAAGCAGTTTACCCTACAATTTTCAATGTAAACAGATTATACAGTGTCCTAAAATTATTGTTTTGAAAACATCTATCGACAGTCTTAGTTAAATAAGCTATTAAAGACAACAATGCATAAAGGAAGTACCCAGTAAGTAATTTCACAACAATTTGGGAAACACTAGCTGTAAGTGGACACAGACAATGCATATTGGTCCCAGATGAAACAACAGCTTTATCTAGACTATATTACATACTTTTTATGCAAACGTATGAACATGTTCATGATGTAGCAATAGAAAAGCAAGTGTTAATTATATTGATATGCTGAATTTCATTCCTTATGTTGTTGTTGTTTTTTTCTCACACTCTGTATGCCACGGATCTTTGGAAACAACTTCTCAATTAACAGGAAGAAATATACACCAAATGCATTTTCCTTAATACATTCATTAACAAAATGATTGATGAATTTTCAAGGCAATGTTCCTTTCTTCTAATGTAAGCGAGTGTTGTATGAATAAAATCAAATGAGCCTTCAAATTAAAAGAATTCAAAAATGCCACACACAAGCAAAATACTTGCTTAATTCACTAATAAAATATAACGTTCTGAATATAAAAAACTCACTAATATTCTCATTCATTACAATACGATGTACTACGTAATTCATTCTTGCACTTCTTAACACTAATAATTTGATGGTTATAACAGTATATTTTTAGCTTTTTAAACAAGTTTCTGTTATTGCACTGCAGCTTCAAAGTGCCACATCAATATGAATACTCATTTTGAGTTTTTTCTGAAAATTCAACTTTCAAATCTTTGCACTGCACACACAACTGAAATACATATTGTATTGCAAAACTATGGGGAGAAAATGGAATATTGATAAATGATGGCAAATAAACTACAGCACTGCAACTACATTCACACACAAAAATGTACTTGCAATAAAATAAAAGAAATGAGATGGAAACTGAAAAGAAAAACAAAATCTAATGAACAATTTCACTTGTATATGAAGATTTTCCAGTGCTTGCAATTGTTACCTCAATTTTTACTTCTTTCTCTAACTGGACATAATTTTTAGCCTTAATTTAAACTAGTAACAAAAAAATATTAGAAATTATAAAATTATAACAACTTCATGTCCTTAAATTTCAAATAATGAAGCACATCACACATTGGAAGCAATTAACTCAAATTACAAACTTCAACAATAAAATGAGTTTGTATTAAAAAAAAAAAAGTTTTACTTGTAACATGTCTCATCTAGTACTTTCAGTGAAGATCTGATTTCCAGAATATCACAAACTGGCAACAATGTTGAAGAAATTATTTTGATTCTATAAAAGGTAAATCAAAAGACAAAAAATTAACAAGAAAACAATGTATTGTATCCACAGATAATATAATATTCTATAATACATTTTAGACAAACTTATTGTTCTGTTCTCAAAAGTGAATAACTTTGATCTTCAATGAATAACACAACAAAATGCATGCAAAGGTCTTAAATCTATCAAAAGAAATTGAAGAGAGAAACCAAATAAGCTCATTGACGGAAGCAATTTACATTACTCCCCCAAAAACATTACCAAATCCATGAAAACATATAGCTAACAGTTTACAGCGCTACTTGAAGCATAAACCTTTTTGTAAGTATATATATTTATATATATATGTATATATATTTAGTTTGTTGTTACCTGTAATCACATACAAGTGTGTTCATACTACAATATTAATATATAAAGGTAATTATCATTTTACTATATTTATAAATTTTATATACAATAAATGAAGACTCTAATACATAATGACGTTAAGCCCAGTACTCTCTGTGGTAACATCTCAAATCAGAGAAATGTTATTTACACTTTCACATTTGAATTTACACATTGTAACCACAGGTTGGTTTTAAACCACTTATTTCATAATAATTTTACAAACGTGAAACAACAGACTTAACAACTTTAACATACAAGCTGTAATTGCAATGTAAACAAGATACCAACTGTACCAATTTGCCATTTAGAGGAACCACAATTAACTTTCTCCAACATGTTAATCAATTGCACTTCAAAAGTAAAACTACTAAATGCAATGTGTAATAAGCCAAAAATAAAGAAAAGTAATGATAAAATAAAAAATAATAAAAGTATTAATAACGTTGCTAAATTTGATACGATGCATATGAGCGATATTAAAACTCTTGACAAAGACGTACATATCAGCAACAGCATATTCTACTGGCATAATCAATGATTCAAAGAAATAATACTGTTGTCAGAAGACAACTGAATTAACAGATATCCTTTACAACCAATCTTTGTGGCAGCAGTGGTACAGCATTCTGTTACATATGTAACAAACCCAGGCAAAATAATTATGAACGATTGGCACTTAACTGGATAACACCATCGAGCTCTTGAGCATAGTTCTACTAATGATCTATGCATTTCTAACAAAAGAAAATTATTAAAAGCAAAACAGCATGGAAAAAACTTCACAATCAAAACAATGTTGAAGCTCCCCTCAATATTTCATTACAATTTTAATTTTTCTAATTCCACTTAGTATAAAATGAATACAATACATGACATTTTCAATCACAATTAACACTTAGCAAGGAGATATTTACACATTATGGAATACATAGAGTACAATGAATTTTCATTCATTCACTTCGATAACAAATCATAATTCACTCATGCTATTTCTTCCTTACGCACACAAGATGACAATTTCAACACTTTTTGGACAGATAAGCACCATTTACATTTACATTGTGTGGTAATATGGAATTCCTTCAAAATGTAGTTCACTTGTAGCGATCAAGTTTACAAAAGAATTGGATCCTCAATAACATTTGATTTGGGCACTTTCGGGAGAAGTCATAATACAGTAAGAAGAAACAATTTCACTAAGCGTTCTGTTGTTTTATCATGGCATTCAAGAAAACATTCCATTTTAGAATAATAGCCACCCAAAACAACCATATCCAAATTGCAGAAAACAATAATTTTTGGCAAAAAAAGAAGCTTACAATTTTCATCATGACATCTTGTGATTATTTTTATATCTTCCAAGATCTCTTTCTTCAGTCAAATGTAAAGCATTCATTTTTGGACATGAGTTTCGTCCGAACAAAAGTTTCCAATTCAAAAATCATGATTCTTTGTTATTATTTCTGCTTCAAAATCAATATTTAAATTCAAAACATTTCACTTCAAAATCGGAACTATTGAACAGGCACAATAATGACTAGAAGAGCCTGGAAGCACACCATCCCTCAAACTTCCTTCAGTCCTGCCTAATAAAAGCATTCCTTTTTGAAGAGGCACTTGGAACTCTCACAATTAGACATAGGTTGTTGTGCCACAAATAACCATTTATAATTTCTTAATTAGTTAAATTTCTTTTGATTGAAAAAAAAAAAGAAGAGAAAAAGCACAACTGGGCAAAAATATCCAATGCTTTCAATTTAACAATTCTTTTGTTTTGAAGACAAAGTCAAAAAATTAATACCATAAGTTTTTAATAAAACTACTTAACAAAATTATTGCAAATCAACAAGATTCGAACAATAACACTATGGAAATAAGATCCCTGTATGTAATATTACCAATGAAGCGTCATCAAACCACATCATTCCACAAAGGTATATTAAGTATTTTCATATCGTGTAATAAATTACCCAACCCAAAAATATAAGTCACTGAAAATTATATAACATACAGTTGTGGTAAAAAAAAAAAAAAAAAAAAAAAAAAAAAAAAAAAAAAAAAAAAAAAAAAAAAAAAAAAAAAAAAGGTAAGGTTTTGCCACATTTTCTTTCATGTGGGAATCATTAACTGATACGCAGATAGGCACAATTAATGACCGCAAATACCAGTTTCTGCAAGGCATTTTCACGTTTGATCCAAAAAATGTAAATTATTGTTGCATGTACCAAACAGCTGAATTTCACATAAATAACAACTTACAAATTTACTGTACAAGTTACCAAAAAAATTATTTCAATTCAAAAAATCAAGCTTATTTTCTTTTTTTCTCATAATAGGGGCAGTGAAGTAACCAATTCCTTGTTCCCATTTAGGTGCTTCCAAATTCTCAATCCATAAATTTAATGGAAATAAAATTTCACACATTCTATGCTTTCTATTAAGAGTACGGATGGCTTATGGGGGCACTCTAGAACTATACAGAGAAAACTGAGAAGAAGAAAAGGTAAAATGATTGTGAACATTAATTTAAAAAATGAAATGAAACACCCACATTATAGAAAGCAGAGTCAACCTACACTAAAAAATTTACTCTAGTGTATGACAATGAATACTGCATAACAACAAAAATTCTATGTCAACAATTGTTTTCTTACATAGCACATTTTCATGGTGTTTGCACTGTCAATGAAAACACCTCTCTCCCAAACAACACATAAACAGAGAAGTGATGTGACAAGCCCACCAAAATGGTCTAGAGCAACAAAAATGGCAGATTAGCATCAGATGGAAAATGGAAATTCTCACGGAAAAAATATTTTTCACAGGACAAATGGCTGCTAGACTACAACCTAGATATATGATTATGTCTGATCGTCCTAAGAAGGGGTATGAAGGCTGATAAAGAAATGTTAGAAGGTATGCACTGAATATAAAAGTTCAGATCTTTCACTAACATATAATTCAAGAAATGTATTGTTATGTAATAAAAGATGACATGAATGATTTAATAAAAGATTATGTCATATAGAATGTCATAAATGTTTAAATTAAAATAAAGTTGTAAATAATTTAGCACCACAAAATTTCCCGACAAAATGCTAATTGCTTAGTGTGTGTGCTTCGAAACCACCACAAAATTGCTAATTTATGAAAATATTTATGATTAGTGCTCAGTACAATGTTAGGTTCTTCCAAGTATGCCTTTTTAGATTTTGCAGACTATATTACTCTTCTTGTGAATTATCTTTATCAAAGTATGAATAAAAACAGGATTGTTGAAATTTTGTTTAGTCAACTTCTGACCACTTCCAAGCTGAATGTATGTGAAAAAGGCTTTATTCAATAGTTACAGAGTGAATAAATAAGGAAAATAACAAGAATGACTTTCACAGCACCCAAATCTGATGCTTAACTCTTGAAGACAATTTTTTTGTATTTAGCACAAAAGAAACACTGAAGAAAGCCAGGGTCCACAGAGAATAAAAAACATAAAACAACCCAATTTAGGGAGTCATGTAATCTGAGAATTTTGAAGGAAATTTAATCGAATTCCACGATCTTACTATGTCTCTGAACTACAGAACTTGCTTTGAACAGAATGCATATACTATTCTTATTGGTCAATAAGGAATTTTAAGATTTAAAAAATAAGTATTATTATACTTTTGTAACAACACGTAAGTGTTCATAGAGTTTGAATTTTTACATTACATCACAATGCAAGCTATGAAAGGACTCTCATGAGCACATCACAAAGCCTTAATAATAAAATCAACGTGATAGAACAATATATAATGATTCTTTAAAACTATACATAATAAAATGAAACCGGTTTGTTTTTGACAACCTAACATCTATGTACACCTATGCCACACGCAAGCAACATCTAAGTACTACACGCAGCATTCCGATTCACACCATATTCAAATTAACCCATGATCTAATGCATTATTAATGCAATATCTCTAATTGCAGAATACACATTTGGATTTCTCATAATATAATACTGTGAATAAGAGGATAAAATTATAAATATTTTTGAAGATTTGTACCATGGGACCATGATACATACTGAGTCAATAAATTATTTTAGTATTGCAATGAAATGTCTCTTAGAAGGTATCATTGCTTTAGTATTTCTGGACACTTTACAAACTTCCCTTGAGCTAGGTAGGAGCAATTACTTTAATTAAGCAAAAATTCTTAAAGATGAAACAAAAGTCATGGTGTAAACAGAATTAATGAAAATGAAGTTTTTTAACTAAGAGCATTATCTGAGTACTAAGTACACTTATAATGATTTACAGTAATTATTGATTTAGTCTCAATTGGATTCAGACTATTTCGTAAAAACATTGATTAAAGAGTCAAATACTTTCTCAACAAAAATAATTGTATCTCAATGATCTGTGAAGATTAAATTCTCAGAAGAATAAGAGACTATTTCTTCAGTTTAATTCTTGTAGAAAATACAAATTGAATAATCAAATTGAAACAAACTCACTGCAAATAGACTAGAATATGACAGGCTCATGCAGGACCATTATTTCTGAAGATTTTCATATCTTCTAAATCTACTTATCTCATTCTTTTTTATTTTTGTTTTTTTAAACACTACCCATCAGCCTTCTACTTTTAATGCAATGCAATACAGTATGATGTCTAGCAGCCAGCTGTCAAGACAAACAATTCTTCATTGCCATTGCATTATGGCTCTTTCTATTTCCAGAGACCTACCTTGTGCCAATTCAAGAAAGCTACAAATCTGTCAATTTCTTTTCTCATCACTTATCACTCTCTATTTCCTCTTCTTTTATTATTCGAGCTTTCTTGCTCTCTTCTTCAGCTGAACCATCATCATCCCCAGCATGTCCACCACCAGTTAAGGGTGAAGAACTCTCATCCATCTCAGAATGATGGCGCTTTGTGCCACCCATTTGATCAAGAGCACCACTAGATGGATTTGAAGGAGTAACAAATGTTCCACTGCATAACAAATCATGGATTGTAAATTAATGAATATATGCTGCCCCATATTCTAGAAGTGCAAAATTACATAATACATGATAACAATGCAACAGTTTTAATTATTTACCTGTAATTTGTGTATGCAGCTTGTACAATTACAGGAGCAGGAGAGAATGATGCTGGAGAGACAGAGCGCTCTTCAGCTACACTGACAAGAGTAGCTGCACTGTTTGGTACCAGGTACTTCTCTGAAAGAAAAAACTCAAAATTAACATAGAATAAATTCATGAAACAACAAAACATTATTTTTATTTCTTCACACTAAAGTATGGTGACATTCACATTTCTCTTCACAAATATCGTAAATACCTTCACGAGACACCTCTCCCCCAACACCATTGGTGACTACTGTAATTGGTTGAGCAGGTAGCATTAGACGTGACTTTCCAACCAGAGCAACCTGCTGTGGTTGCCCACTCACACCGCTGGTCACAAAGGTAACACCTATAAAATTTAGAAAATAACATCTGTATAATCAATAATCATTTGGAGAATTCATCTCTATCCAACGCATAAGGATGAGTGTAATTTTTTTGGGCTCTGTAAACAATCGGAGGCTAATTTTAGAGTATTAAACAAAAAACATAGAGCCCAATTAATGTACAAGAAGTTATGGAATTCCAGAACTCTCAACTGAACACATACTTCCGTGGCTTAGAAATGCATTTTCTAGCAACATCAGTGTTTACCTGGGTGCCCAGGAGAACCAGGAGCACTCTGGCTAGTTTTCACTTCCAAATGGGTGCCATGCATGGCAGGAGATACAACAGAGTTGTCTGGATATTGGTCAGGTGTGGGAGACCCTTCTCTTGAGAGAGACTCCGGTGTCATCAGCCCACTCATTCCGACATGACTTGGGGAAGCTGGAGCACTTCTACAAATAAAACACAATTAAAGTTATCATTTAAGGAAAAGAAGTAATCATTTCCACAAAGAAATTTTTGGAACCCTAGATTGCAGTTTTCAAGGGTCAACAAGCATTATCTGGTGCATTTCTAGAAATGCGCAAATGACTTTCTCGAAAACATCATTCACTGTTGTTATTTCACAAGATATCTAAAAATTATATCCTGAATTTCCTTCAGAGTTAGTTAATTTTACGAAAACTGTAAATTAAAGAGTTTGAAGATAAAAGATTTAAATTGATAGAAACATTTGAGCATAAAAGGATAAGGACAACATTTCTGGTGCCACATATTTATTCATTTTATTTGAACTACACTTCTTGGGGTTTAATTACAGATTATTGTTTGTAACTATATAAGTATTGTATTTTGACTATAGTGAAAATAATACTTCTCTAAAATTTACATAATCCTTTTGTGACTTTTTAAGGAAAGACTAAGGTAATATGATTGAAACATGAAAATAATAGAAAAAACAACAACAATAATAATAGTCAATCAAATGGTCAAGATCATTAATGAAATTAATCACCAGATGATCCTAGGTTCAAGGCCTGCATGGGTGTGGTTGTGTATGTGTGTCGTCCTTTCACCCCTCACTATCATCATTTCATCTTCAACAACTCTGGGGGGAAAAAATCAGATCTAGCTAAATGCTGATCCCATGATAAATTACACACACCTGCCACGGAGATAATGTTACTGTACTCCGGTAAATGCAGGGTGCATGCACGCGTGGTACAAGTTAGCCTATTTGTGAGCAAATATTTTGATTTTGTTAACCACGTCATTTTGTTGTACAAACTTGATTGTCTGGAGATATGTGGACCACTGTTAGTTAGTTCAGCAGTTATTTAACCAATTGCAAGAAATGTAATTCGATAACTTTTTCCAGAGCTAGATCAGTAGAGGCTTTTTAACACAAACTTTACTTCAATGATGTAAGAGTGTCTCATTCATGAGAGATCTGGGTGTGATATTTTATTCTGGTATGACATTTAATGAACATATCCAGAGCACTGTACCTAAATCTAACCAGATTTTGGGTTTTATAAAGCACACCTGTTATGAGTAATGTATATTCTTTATCACACAAAAAGTAAATTCAGTGTAATGTTTATATAAAAAAGAATTTTTACAGAAGAGTACAGTAGCACTTCCTAATTTTTAAATTTCAATTATTTCTCATAATGAACTATATCTTTGTTGGATGAAGACATCACAAAAAGAAGTGTCGAAGCCATTTACAATTTAGCCAACTGCAAATGAACGAAGGAAGGAGAGTCAAATGCGGTAAAGGACACGACGATCACAGAACCTTCAGTTAGCCTTCAACAAGCTGTCAAAACAGTCCATTCTTATAAAAATCGCTCTATATCTTCAATCCCTATTGGTTTATACTGTCTAATTTTGGAAATCTGTTGTTCAATCTCTGTAAAAATTCTTTCTATCTCCTTTAAAACCATTCTCTTCTACTAAACATTTGGCTTTCAGTTTCTTTCTGATGACAATTTTTCAGTCTGTCTATTCTTGTTATTCCCATGAGGTGTCTTAGAAATCTTATATGTGCCTTATGTAGTTTTTATTTCTCTCTTTGTCTTCATTACCTGTGTTTCAGAGCCATACATGATTCTAGGTTTAGTAGCTCTATTGTGGAGTTTCAGTTTTGTTTCCGGGTCCATGTGTCTGCCAAAGATTCTCTTAATTGTTCCACACATTCTATTGTAGTTATTAAGGATGTTTTCTATGTCTTCCTAAGATAGGTTGTATACACTTATGATATTTCCAAGGTATTTAGATTTTGATTTATTTAGTTAAAAAACAGTAAAAGCTGTACGTGACGTATGGGGGAGAAGATAATCTGCACATGTTTTCTTGAGTTCCAGAATCCCTTTCCATCATTTCAACTATAATTAGTTGATATATGAGTAAAAGTTAAGATATATAAATAAATATACATAAAATTTAAAAAAAGCGTGAGGTTAGAGACATTTGAAAGACCAGCCTTCGTTCCTGAACAACAGAAAACGTTTTTGCAACGGTAAATGAACTGCAGATTTTATTTTCTGCATTGCTAACAAAATAGTAACTCATCCTTACCTCCTACCACTACAAGCAAAAGGAGAGTTCATCAAAATGTGTGCATAGTGAAGCAACATTTACGTATGAAATTTTATTTACTTCTTTCATTAATTTTACATTTGTGACTATTTTTGCTCCTTTGTTCCTTGCCTTGTATTGCCATAACTTTTGTTTCCTGAACTGCCACCTTCATGGAATATGCTTGTGACACTTTTGCCAATTCAAAAAACCCTTTGTAAATTATCTTCAGAATCCGTTACGATAGTTTGGTCATCAGCATACAAAATTGTATCTATCTTCTTGTCTTTTGTGATCTTTATTTCTTGTCTAACTGTCCTTCTCCAGCTTCTAAGTTGTTAACATATATGTTGAAGAGGATGGGTGATAATCCACATCCTTGCCTTAAGCAACTGTTGGTTGTCATTGCTGCCAACTTTTTTCCCTCTCTTAACAGTATTTTAATTCTTGAGTTCTTTGTAGAGACGTATCACATTGAGCAACTGAATTGGAACTTCCTTCTCTTCTAGAACTCCAAGAGTTTCTATTAACTTTGCCTTAAGCCTGTTCATAATCAATAAATATTGTAAGAGTTGGTAGATTATTTTCCCTTCTTTTTTCTATTAACATCTGACTGTGCCTTTAGTGCTTCTCCCATTTTGGAATCCACACTGCTCTCCTCCCATGAAATTATCACATATTTCATTGAGTCTGTTCTTCAGCATGTTTGCATATTGTGGTAAATAAATAATAATAAGCCATCCCCATGGCGCAGATGGTTGTGGCAGCCGTCCACTGTGGCAAGGATGCAATAGATTCAACACATAGCTTGGTCATAAATTGCTGAAAATCTTGATCTTCAGTATTATAGTTGTAAGAAAATGCACTTTCTAATAATAATGAATGCAAAAACTAGCACTTTTGCAATTTTTGAAAAATTAAGGATTTCATCAAAGAATTCTGGGAGTTTCAGTGAGTATGCACTTGTGCACAGGAGTTCTGCTGCCTCAGAAGCTGCTGTATGCAAAGTGCACATCGCTAGAACTCTTGAAATAGTTCACCAAAAATAATGCAAATTGGGCCTGAGTCTTAAGCAAATGAGAATCAGGCTATTGTAATGATGTGAAGGCAATGTAACAATTCAGGTACTAAATTGGTTTGCGTATGTCAGTAATGTTTTAGGGTATTGATGAACTGTGGCATAGATTGTGCCACCCGGTGGGGGTCTGCATGTTTGATGAAGATAAAAAGTTAAATTCGAAATGCTGCTTATATCATGTGATTCTATACATTGCAGTCTATCCTTACAGAAATTTCAAAGAAAATATTTGAAGCATTTTTAAGAAAACCTTTTTTCTTAAGAAAATTGACGCAACTTAAAGAGACAAAATTACATGTAAACTACTATTGTGAATCTTTCCCTCATGCGTAAATACATTTACCTTGAGGATGATAACCCAAATGGTGCTCTGAAGCATGGAACACCTCTCTGACGCCGCCTTCTAAATGCTTGCTCTATCAATTTTGCTTCTGACTGAGGATCAATACGCCAAAACGATCCCTTTCCTGGCTCCTCTTGCGAACGAGGAACTTTAATAAAGTATCGATTTAACGACAAGTTGTGCCTAATAGAATTCTAAAACAAAGAACAAATATGATGAAAATATGCATGATATCAATGATACAATTGGATCCGAAAAACAATGCATACCTGCCATCCTTTATCTGCAGTCCGATAATAAGGGTAGTTTTTAGTTATATACGAATATATACCACTAAGTGTGAGTTGTTTGTCTTGAGCTGATGCTATAGCTTGTACAATCAGCTGAGCATATGAAAATGGTGGTTTTGAATCATCCTACGAAATGAAAAGTAACATATTAGTAATAATTTCATTGATAAATGAAATGCATAATTTTGGGTTTACTTTTAAAGCACCACGTAACTAACCGGACTGAGAGAAAACAACAATAACAACTATATACATGTTTTCTTGATACTTGAGATTATAGTCCCTAACCACTACCAAACCACATAGCCTTCTAAAAAACTTTGGTCAGACTTGGAATGGCAATTTCCAATACTGCAATCTATCCCTGTACCTTTAACATATTCCTTATATTAGTGCATTTATTTGAAGTTTCTGTATATTGCTCAATATTTTACATCATTTTTGGTTTTTTCTCCAGTTCAATGATCTCAAATAAATTTTATTAGATTTACTTATTCATTAATTCCTCTCTTTATAAGGCTTCAACTTACTCATCTGACAGAATTCTTAGTTAATGATCAGGGAATCATCTGTGATAATTAAAGAAAGAGTACATCTTAAAACAATCTACTAATCCCAACGGTTTTTGTTGTCAAATAAATGTCTTTAGAAATTATGTACAGAAATGTGAAGATGAACATCGGGAAAAGATGGAATAGGTACTAGAAATGGACGGTAATGACATCAACATGCAGGAGACATGGTCAGTCAAAGTGATCATGACAGCTATTCAAATGCTGTCATGTGTAAGTTGAACTCATGCCTTGTAGCATTGGATGTTCACTGTAACAGTTGGCATGCCTGTTGGAGCTGAAACACTGACACAGCCTTCCCCTCCTCCCAGCCCTGTACCGTGAAATAGCAAGAAAATGTGCATGTACAGTAGGTTAATTAAATTATTTCAAAACACTGACAGGTCACCTTTGGTGGACTATAAGGCTCTGTAACTGGAGGAGGACAGGTAGAATTTGTGCCATTGGGCCCTCCAGCTCTGTAAACTTTATGTCCATTGCCAGTTTCAGAACTTGTACTATGATGATTATCAGGACTTGGAACTGAAGCCACTGCTGAGCTACCGTGACTAGAAGAAGCAGGACCCAATACACCATCTTGTCTGAAAATTCATAACAGAATATGCAAGTCATATTCATTAAATTCATGCTTTAATTATTTGTTAAGGTGTTTAGAAAGTTACCACAGGTGATTTACTTTTCACCATACATTTATGGGTAATAATATATTATCTCTTACATAAACATTCAATCACCTGTCATCTGATGTATTTGAAGTTGCAACAGTAATTGTGTTGACCACAGAATGAGGCACTCCCCCAGCGTTGCCTCCTCCATTGCTGCTGCTGCCACCACCACTACCACCACCAGCTACCGCGGCAGCAGCATAAACTGCAACCATTTGGAGATCTGCACTAATGTTACGACGTCCATGACCACCATGCCCACCACGTGGACTTGCTGGGCAGGAGTTGGCAGCACTGTAGATAGAACATAATTTAATCAAAATATGAATTACTAGAAAAATTGCCTAATACTGACACAATTAACTTTCTTCATCCTAACAACTTAACTTTACTTCCAAACTATTGCATAAAGATTAAACTTTCAATCACTTTACCTGATTGTACCCGTAGGTGAAGGAAATGGACTATTGAAATTGTTATCTGGATCAGGAATATTAATTCTTAATGGTGGCAAAGGAGCTCTTGACTTGTTTGGAGAAGGCTGTCGCACTGTGACAGGTGGATCTGCTTCATCTACTAAAGATTGAAATACTAATCGTATGTTGGTACTTGGAAATCGAAATGTACATCTGAAACAATTCATATTATCATTACTCTACAAAGCAATTGGCCATTAAGTGTTACAACAAACCCAAATAAATCACCACATTGATTTTACACAATGCTAATTTTTATGAATACTAAATAACATCAATTCTGAAAATGCAAATGTTTGAAATATTCTCCACTGTTTATGCAGATAGAATTTGTTGCATTGGGGGGAGAGGATGGGAGAGAAAATAAATAAATTAAAAAAACAACAACTGATGAATGAAATTTTGGGGTGAGAGGATAATAAGTCATAAAACAACAATTTTTCAGAAGCAATTTCCTAAATTCAAACAAATAATAATAATATACTTAATATAAACATATACTATAAATAAACATAAATAATTTCCATCATTTCATGGCAACATTGATGCAAAGTGACTAATAGTCCACTAACATGAATCATATTAATAAACTGAGTTGGAGTCAATATTGCTGTGTAATGAAGAAAATAAACCGTTGTTTGCTTCTGAAAATTTGAATAACTTTAACATTTTTCCCCTTATTACCCCAGAATTATTTTACTAATTAATGCTATTCCTTTTAATTTCATTCACATGAGTTATTTACTGGTCGATATCCAGAGAATTTTAATTTCAAATTAAATGTACAGTTAATTAGAAACCTATTAATTTTTGATAAATTGTAGAAGTTTTGAAGGGTAAAAATTAGAGAAACTCCTCCCCAATGGAACTATTTCCTTATAAACACAGTACTGACTAAATACATATTACTTTCACATTCAACATTAATGTTTTACTTTCTAAAATGTGAGTGCATATGCAATACGAGAAGATAAAATACAATAAAATGCAAGTATAACTTTCTAACAAATTGAAAATGCTACCAAAAGTACTAGTGTAAGAACTGATAAGATACACAAGCAAATTTGCAAGTCTTTTTTACCAAAGTTATGTAAGAAACGTTTTTCCAACATATTCTTAAAACAAAATTTAGTTAGGCTCTCTGCAAAAACTAGCTAGCAATTATACTAACAGTTTCCACATAAGTTACTGTACTATCTTGCACTTTCGATCTTTTGCTCACAGGAGAATTTAATCTCTACTACATTTCACCAAGTATAACAAGAGAGAAAATACCCACTTCACAAACATCAACCAAGGTAAAAGCTCAAGTAGTGGCTATAGTTAAGAAAATTTTTATTGTTTTCTTCAACTTCTTTTGTTACGTGAAACTAGAGGTGTGATTGGCATTCCTCTTTCTGAATTGATCACTGGCGATTGGCACTGGAAAAATTGATGATTTTCCATTTGTTCTACATTTTGTTAACTTATTTCCAAAACCTCAATTTTTATCCAATAGTCTACTAGAAAAATGTTGATATTGGTCAAATTGATGACTTAGTCTTGGCCACTCTATTCTAAAATCGTGATAGTCCGACCACATCCAAAGAAGTACCAGTTCAGTTATATAACAGCAACACCAATATCAATAAGATGTTTTAGAATTATTCTTTATATATAAAAGAAAATAAATAAATTATCATTTAACACCTCACCACATAAGCTCCATGATCTACAAGTTTGAAGCAAGTAGGAAGCCTCAAATTCTTATTTTGCAAAATTTGTGCTTGAAGTGGCCACTACTGGTATCTTTACCGTATTTCATGAGGAAACTTTTTATTGTAATCATAAAATTTTAAATAGGATGTTTACCCATTAAAAAATTTTAAATTAAAGTTACAAAAACAAAATTAAATAATCTCTTCTCGCAAAAAAACAACAACAAAAGTCACACCCTCCACTTAAAAAAATTGTGGATTCTTTCTCATGGATGTCATTGCATTTAAGGGGGTACATACAATTCAAATTTCCATTTTTCAGTGTTTCTTTTTCTTTCCATAAAATATTGAATATTTTTTATCTCTATTTTCAAGAATTTTTTTGATAATATCTACACCTATTGCAGATTCATTAAATAAAAAATAAAGAACTGTGGAGCAGTTGGCAAGACACTCTAAGGTATTGTAACTACTTCTAAAATAATGAACTTACATTTATCAAAACCGATCATTGAAAAATCTGCCCCATCACCATTTCCGTCTACTACATGAATGCACAAACTTTTTAGAGAATATTTCAAAACACATTATCTATTGAGATTAAGATTGTAAATGGAGAAGTTAATGAATAATTTTTATCCACAAAAATAATGTTCAAAACATTCCTTCTCAGAAGATTATTGTTTAATATTTATAAAGTAAATACAATAAATCCCTTGAGGTAGTCAGTAGTTTCTTTGACTCATGAAAGTACTCTTATTAATAATAAATAAAATATAATAATAAAAAAATATAATAATATGAATGAAATAGTTCATATTTATTTACAGCTGTAAAAGAGAATGATGTTGATATTGTCTAGTGTTTAGCTTCTGCATTCCCTTAAACAAACAAAAACAAAAAACATCAGGGTTTTTGTAAACACCTTAATTTTGAATTTTATGAGCCAATACGAACTTTTTAATAAAAAATGACAAAGTATGTACTCATTTGCCCATATTAGTTGTATATGCCCCCTTAAATGTCTTCATATGCTTGATTTCAATGATAAAAAACCAATTTCATTAACTTGCACATGGTCAAGTAATTACAACCTCAATAACGTTTTGTATGAAACTAGACATACAAACTTTGCTCCATTTTCACAATTTTAACAATTACATAAAGAACTTGACTTATCAGTAAAAAGTCAGCAGGAATTTCGCGTCTCATTCACAGGATTTAAAACTTACTGTTTTCTTAGTAATGTTTCACTTGAAAACATTTATTTTCATTTTCTTTCACCTTTGGAGAAAACTAATTACAAAAGGCTCGCTTTTATGAATAGTGAAAAACATTTGCAACACGTTTACAAGGCAAGAGTTTATTTACTTCTGGAATACCGATTCCTATAATAAAAATAGACTATGGCAATACTTGTCACCAAGAATCATGACTAACCGTATTGGGAAAAGCTGAAAACAAAACATTGTTTACAGTAAACAAAACTTGGATAATACAGAGGAGTCATTCTTAAGGGGTAAACATGCTGGACTTTCCCACCGACCCACATCATGATATACTCGTGTTGTTTGGTTTGCACATTTACTTACGTTTTAGGTAACTGTAATGACGGGGCTCCTTTCCTTTGAAACACGCCGTCCACAAACACTCCGTTCTTACCATTACATGTCATATAGAAATGAGGGTGCTCGAAAAATATTTCAATATGTTTTCGTGAGATAAAACTAGAATGTCCCATGTTTACATCGACCTCGCCTCGCGAGCTATTTCGACCGATGGTAATTCTCTCTTGTCGCACCATATACTCTAATTCTCTGCCTTCTAATCGCGCAATAGCTGTTCCTTTGCTTTCGGGGCTCCATTGTAACTTTGAAGGACTAGCTGGGGCCGATTTTAGGGCCAAAAGAGCCCACGCATCACTCTCCTGCGGCCGCGAATGTGAAGACATCACTACTGAATATGGCTTCCCAGAGCCGATGAAGATCGTATGGATGTTTAGTTGTTTACCCACAATCCAAAACGTGGGTGGCCCTGACCACGTGACAATCGAGCTGCGTGTTTCTGATGAAATTATACCAGAGTTGTTGCGGGTGGAGCGTACAGATATGTTCGAAAAAGTAGATGAAAATCAATTACAGAAAAATATTGTAATTGAGAACGTAAGAATTTGCGAAGTCACAACGATAGTCTGCTGCTAGTGTCACATTATTTTGATTTTAATAATTAACCCAAGTTCTCCAACAAATTGTTAATCTTCAACAGTAAACAATGCGGAAGAACACTCGGCGAAACATAAAAAGTAAAAATGTACACTCCAACTCGCTGTGCCGTTCAACATTAGAAGATTTGAGACTGAGTTGACGTTATGCGACACTTTTCGACCAACTACTACGACCTGTGACTCTTCGATGAGTCATCATATTCGACATTCATTCATTACACTTGCAATCAGCTTGCAATAGTTGAAACAATCAGCAGGTTCCACTACAAAATAGTGGTCTGTACTTGCGACCATGAAGGGGTTGAACATATGACTAGCGAAGTTTTATTTACGCAACGTGTGCTTTGCAGATATTGGGTAGGGCGTGTGAATAATATTTATAGCTTCAGCAAGAAAATAATAATTAAAGAGGCAGTCCATTTTATTTATTCGAAATACAGAGTATTGCATGTGTCCTTAAATTATTAGAAAAAATATGTATATTACAGGCTGGAAAACTATTACGTCGCGCAGGGAAGTCTTAAAATCAAGAGCTAGAAAAAAAAAGTACAATTATCTCAAAATATAAAGCCGAATTTAGTCGTCAAGTTGACATAATAATGCCACGCCTCTATTAATCCAGTGACGTTCTGGCTCCCTACTTGGAAGATCCATATACATAACAAAATTCGTGGAATGGCCAGTAGTTGACAATACTCCTCTCCTGGCGCTAGTTTTATAAATAGGACACTTGTACACAGGCTCGTGGCGCATTTTCCCCTGAAACACATGGTTCACATTCATATCATTTCTTATCTAATGCATTTAATATTTAAAATAATGACTATACATTTTTTTAATTAAAACTATTGATTTGAATGTATTATTATTTAATTTGTAATTTATCACAATTTACAAGTTTGAATGATTGTACAAAGAATAAACATACTTTTTCAGTAGGTTTCAACCAAAATACTGGCAAGGAGTCAAAAAGAATTTTTGGAAAGGACTCATTGAGTTCCTTTATTTGACGATCCCATCTGGCTCCTTCCAAAAATAGGCCCTGTAAAATATGTTTTCACATGTAATGGATTAATACGAATTCAAATGACATTTTTTGTTTTCACAATATAATGTCATGGGCACTTAAAAAAAAAAATTAGAAAATCCCAATTCACTTTTTCACCATTTTACTCAGAAGTTTCTTAAAATCTGTATTTGATAAATAACATTATTGGCAAGTCTAAAGAAAATTATTTAGAAACTTGTGCTGTTTTAAGATATTGAGAGATTTGCTGCCATAAGATATTGATAGGTCGATGTTCATTTTTGGAAAGTTATGATTAACATTATGATTGTTATAGTTTTGGAGATAGCAATGTTTAAACTCATTTGTATACCAGAGAAGTGTTCGAACCCCAAAATTTATAAAACACTGATCTCAACAGTTCTCATAAAGATTTGGCAATTGTGTGAATTTAGGACCTCAAATTTCTCACTAACAGAATATTGAATAACATTTTTTTACTGACAAGGCAATGTTAATATACCATAGCGTTGTAAATAAAAATTTCTGTCTTTTGTAAATCCATCTCAGCTTTTCTTATGATTAAAACATGACCAATGATAAAAATTGCCTTCATTTTATCATAATTTATGTGTAAATATTATGTTCCTATTAGGAAAGGTAATGAAATTTGATGTTAGTTTGATGATATGGTAGACAAATTCAATGTTCTGAGCACAAATCACATAACCAAAATTGAGTGCAGAAGAAATAATATGTTCTTAGGTGTAAGTCAATTAAAATTATTTATATCACCAATATTTCAGCTTTTATTAAGCCTTCATCAGGGCTCTGGCTCTGACAGTGATTATTACTTATATAGTGATCCAATGTTTTTATCAAGAATCATTAAATAATGAAAATACAATTTTTAATGCCATGAAGTACCTAATTTTGTTTCAATCAATTTGTAGATATATCTTAACATAATTTTAACAACAGAGCCAAATGGATAGCACTCATGATAATGAACAAAATTTCAGTAAAAATTAAACAATGGAAACAGAGCAAATAAAAGTTAAAAAATTCATCCATGTTTGGAGACCCACAAAAAAATAAGTAAACAAACAGTACTTTTAATTGAGTAAAATATATAAGTAAAAGTAAAAATATTTTATACTTACTCTTGAAAATACTGAAATGTATTCAGAAAAATAATTTGTATTCATTGTGAAATATTTTGTGTGAATAATGTACATAATTGATACAATGATTAGGTATATAATTATTCAGGGGCGGATCCAGAGGCGAATTTTAGAGGGTGGAGGAAATTTTTTTATTCAATGCATTTTGGTCGAAAGTGTCATATTACATATTATATACACTGACGCAGGCTAAACTCAGCTCATCCTATGATATGATTTTATTTGTTTTAATTATTATCTTAAAATATTTTGCTTGTATGTTTTGTGTCAAGTTAAAATGAATAGTTACTGATGCATAAATAAGTATTTTTGGGGAGAGGGGGAGAGATTTTCCTCATTTCCCTCTCGGTGTATCCGCACCTGAATAATTATGTCTGAAACGTACATATGTTAATGATTGTAGGTGTGATTATGCTAATAAAATGCTCTACATTCAATGATTCTGGAAGAATATTAATAAAGAATTAAAAGGTTGCTTTTGAGCCTCACCTTTATTAAAAATGTATCCTCATCCAACTGCTGCTTGTAAAAATGACTTACAGTTATTTTGAGTACAGTAGTTTTTAAATTATATAAACCATTAGACACTATTAAGTTGCTGTGGTATACCCATACTCTTAAGTGCTAAAAAAGATGTTTAAGTCATTTTGTGAATTCCAATATATTAATTTCTATTTTTTATTTATTTTATTTTACTTCTGTGGAATAGCCAATGAACATAGCTTCATAAATATAATGTGCTAAGGAAAGATCACAGTTTTGTACCATATGTTAGCAACTACCAAAAGAAAACTTAAAAGTATGTTACTGTAGGAGAAGGAATTACTTCCCAGGTCAGCATCAAAAAGATTTGAGAAGAAACTTGTGGGAATATGTGGCATTAGTTTACTGAAACATTTAATGAAAATAGGAACTATATCATATTTGTTCATCCACTTTCTTTTATTTGAGCCCTAAATTTAAAGAAACAAAATTGCAGACATGATGCATATCTTGGAAGCGATCCTAGGACTTTAAAGTCAGGTTTTTGGGACTCAAAATGTTTGAGAGTCACATTTCGTATTACATAATCAAGGAAGTGAGTCTTTGTGGACATTCTGTTAGAGGTTGTCACAAAAATCGATGCTGAGTTTCAATAGGAAGCAATTTTAATTTTTGAAAAGAGCGAAGGAAGCTGCTGCATTGTCTGCTGATATACAGGATGTTTGTGAGGAAACGTCGAAACTTTGCAAATAAGCTCTGAAAACAATTTTAAGCATATTTTGTCTAATAAACTATATGGATATTCCGAATGGTTGAGCCAAAATAAGCAATCAAAAGTTAGTATAAAGAAATGCTTCCTAGGCAAAAAATTGCATTGCAGAATCATATAAACCCTCCAGAAACATAAATTATTATTTACAAAAGAAATGAATATATTTGTTCAGAAAGAAAAATTAAGCGAGAAAAAAGGTACTTTTTTATTTCTGTGTTAATGTTTTTTTCTTAACAAATATATTAATTTCTTTTGTAAATAATAAACAATTTACATGTTTATATGCTTCTCCAATACAACATTTTTGCAGTTGAGACGGTTTTCTTGAAAATTGATATACCCTTGTCATTCTAGGGGAACTTGAGGTCTTGCGAGTTTAAAAGGGATATGTCGATTTTCTGCAGTAGACTCCACAATATTTTCGAAATATTCTCAAAAATGGCTTCAGTGTTTTATGAAACATTGTCCTTGGATAGCAAACTCTTGGATAGCAAAAGAACGGCGCAGGTTTCATTTTCGTTAAAGTTCCTGATATTTTGAGAATTTCCAAAGTTCGACATTTTTTCGGCAACTTTCTACAACTACATTATTGAAGATCAATATTTTTCTTAATAAAATATTGTTGAAAGATCTTGAAATATGGTCAAGTACAATTTTCAGAAAATGTAACTTTCACGTAATTTTGCATGAAATACAAGCAATTCCTAAACAACTATTTTCTCAAAAACGACTCCATTTTTTTCTTACGTACGTAGCAAAGGGAGGTAAAAAATGGTGCTGGTCCCATATTCGCAATCGGTCACATCGCAAAATCAAACTCTCTGTACTTTCGAAAATTGCACAGAATAACACTGCAAGAGTACAATATTGATGGTAGAGATTCTTGTCTTAAATTACATCAGTTCTAAGAACTAGATCTTTAAGTAAGGCCATTTACATTTTTTTAACGAGAAGTTTTCATGTAGTTTTTATTGAAGTTACTACAATTTATAAAAAACAAACAAAAACAATTATCAAAAACGCCACGAATTTTTTTCTTTATTTTTTCAAAGAAAGAGTAAAGAACGCTTGATAATGTGGTTCAAGTCTCATTTTCGTTGAACTTTTGGAATGTTCGAATTTTTAAAAAAGTTGTTGCGACTTTGTCGACGCAACACACCTCTGAAACCTTGTTGGACGTTGAACGCATGACATAGAGTAATCCTCCGTTATTATTTTTGTCAAGTCTCGTCACGTCGCAGTCAGTCTGTGCCTTTTATCCCTTCGGCTAGGGGCTCGGAGCCGTTAGATCCCGGAGTTCCCAGACGGTCACCCAACCAGGAATCCGCAAAGTCTTTAATTGCTTAACTTCCGTGACTTAGGTGTAGTTGAGGAATTCGGCTAATGTTCGAAAATTGCGAGAAAATATGACCTGAGTTAGCACTACTTTTATCAAAGTTATGTTCCACTCCATTTTCCCAAAGTTTATTATTATTATTATTATTATTATTATTATTATTATTATTATTATTATTATTATTATTAT